ATCTGATTTCCTAGAAAAGCAAAAATCAAAGTGTAGTTTTTTGTTCCAGTGCAGAATTTGAATATCGAGAACTATGGCCCAAGGTACATGCAAGATAATGGATTATCCAACTCTTAAAAGAAGTTAGAATGGAGGCTAAAACTCCCGCTAAGCTCTATTGTGATAATCAGGTCTCCATGCACATTGCCTCTAACCCGGTTTTCCATGAGTGTACCAAGCACATTGAAATCCATTTACTTTGTACGAGAAAAGATACAACAAAACATAACTACATAGTTCATTCAGACATAAAAACCAACTATCTGATATTTTACCAAACCACCACACAAGTCTCGTATTAATCATTTGTGTAGCAAGTTGGGCATGACTAGCATCTATACACCAAATTGGGGAGAGTGTTAACATTATTGGAATATATAGCATAATTATGATAGTAGGTGTATAGGAATATATAGACAAGGGAGTGTTGACATCTTTCCCGGCGACTTTTTCAGACACGCGCCGCACCAGTGGGTTTTCCTCCTCAAAACACATTAGGTGATGTCACCCTACGCCGCCGCTACGTGCCGCCAGCTATCCGTCGGGTTTTTTCTTAGGGAGCTTTTTTGGTGTTGTTTCTATGGCTAATCCATTTAAATTTCAAAATTTTCAACCTATTACTACCGATAAATTACGAAGTGTATCCAATTATAAGTCATGGACTGTATCCGTACGACTTCGGTTCAAAAGACAAGGACAATCTGACCATCTTACAAAGAGAGACTAAGAAATTAAAGAACTTTGATCTGAATGGGCAAAAGTTGATACCCATTTATGTGCCTTATTGTGGAATTCCTTGAATCCAGTCATACTTCCCACATATCAGTCATTTGAGACATGCTATGAAGTTTGGAATAAGGCTGCTTCAATTAACAAGAATGATATTCAGCGCTACTATGATGTTGTATTTTACTTGAAGATCACACAGTTTCCTCCTACTTATGTGAGTAAATTGGAAGCTATTCCACGGGAGTTTCGTTCGCTTATTTCTACCATTTCTGCAGATCCGGGGGTTGTTTGGGATAAATTCTTTGTCGTATTAGCTCTTGTTCACCGTAAGCCTAAACTTGTTCATGTTCGAGACCAGATACCAGAAGGTTCCACCATACCTATGATGGATGGTGTTCTTATTCGTCTAGTACAACTCTTCTCTAAAGTAACACCCCTGATGACTGCTCTATCTACTAATACTATTGATAGTTCACTTTGGTTTTTCAAATCCTAGCTCCGGTAATCGTGATAAAAATTGTGGTGGGCGAGGGAGTCAAGATCGTAGTAGACGTCATCCACAATGTAGTTATTGTCACAAGATGAGTCATGCACAAGAACGTTGCTTCAGCTTACATGGATGACCCCTCGCTCGACGAATGTTGTTGCTACTGATTCACTTGGAAATTCATCTGACACTATTACTTTACGTGGTGCAGATTATGTTGCATTCCTTCAGTATCAGGCATCTCACTAGTCAACCTCCATCAATATTGCTGACTCACCTAATACCTATGCTCCCGTTATTGGCATCTCTCAAACTTCTCTTAATCCATGGGTCCTACATTCAGGTGTAATTGATCATGTGTCCAGTAATCCCTCTTTATTTTTCACATTTCATCCACCAAATTTACTAACTCATGTTACTCTTGCTAATGGGGATAAAGTTTATTGCCTGTCCGTTACCAATTATACTCAGACGTCAAGAACCTCTGTGACAACCCTGAAAAAGCACTTGTAATACAGCCAAAAATCACAAAAAGAGGAATTCCATGACATATTTGCTAAACTGATTGAGTTTCCACCAATTCGCCATAGCGACCGCCGTATTCCATTGAAGACTAAAGCAGATCCAGTACGCCACTACTGTCAACAGGTATGGACGGATCTAGAAAGATGAGAGTGAACATTTAGTGCACAACAAGCTTGTCGCGAGAATTATTTGCCTCAGCACTAGCCCCTCTTTGAGCCCTGATTTAATGGTCAAAAAAAAAAAATGGGAGTTGGAGGTATTATGTAGACTATCGGGAGTTGAAAAATTCCACCGTTATTGACAAATCAACGGTCACGAGAATTATTTGCTTCAGCACTAGCCCTTTTTCAAGACCTGATTTAATGGTCAAAAAGAAAGATGGACTTGAAGGTACTAAATAGACTATCGGGAACTCAACAAATCCACTGTTGCTGACAAAAACCCGATTCAAGAGATTTTAAATGAGCTTTCCGGTGCAAGAATATAGTCAGTTGTGAATTTCCGAACATAAACTAGATTCAAAATGAGTTTGGGTGAAACAAAGACATTTGTTAAGCTAAGTGGACAAGATTGGATAGGTAAAGTTTTTGTGCTAGCATTGGTGATGGAAAGAACGTCATTTCCGACAACATAAGCAGATGAGTGAGATAAATGAGACAATGTACTTGAATCAATGGAGAGATGAGATGAAGCACTAGAGTGCATGGACCAGATGTTGCTAGGTTGTTGTATAGACTTTGCGTTTAAGGCTTTGGATCAATAAGGTTTGATCCCAAGAAGGTGCGGTTGAAGATGGTGTGTATCCTGGTCCGGTGGAAACAAATTTGTACATTGATTGGTATGGTGTTGATATGCCTTGGAAGCTACCAGGTGTGATGAATGCCCGAGGTGGACCGGCGTCTAGAATCCCAAGACCACTCAGAGGCCAGATTTAGAATAAGCCAGTCCAAGGATTGATTGCGGTGCTTGGGTGATTCTGGGGAATGCCGGTATTGTTTCTGCTGGTATGCAAGATCTCCGTGTCCTTGCCTTTGCCCTTGCCCTTGCCATTTTACTTGGGCTGGCCATCATTAGTTACACCGAAAGGAGATCTAGAAGGAGTATAAGACTTATCTACGAGGATCAAAAGAGTTGTAAGTTTGGGCTTATTAATCTTTAGATCCGCTTCTTCAATTAGGAGTAGAGAGCAAGTCTCAATAAATGGAGACAAGAGGATTCCTCATTTAGGTAATGGGAGCCATTGCAAAAATGACAACAAAATTCTTTAGTTGCTAAGAGTAGGCAAGGATTGAGAGTTCACCTTGTACCTGTTATGGAAGTCGGCCTCCAAAGAGACAGAAGCCTTGTTGTTAAGGAAGAGGCCTTCAATGCTTGTGTAAATGGCATAGGCAGATGCGCCAGGGCTAAGTACAATAGAGAGAATCTCTTCTGAAAATGAGGCATAGAGTAGCAACCATACCGCAAAGTCGGTGGCCTACCATAGGGTTGGTAACCGTAGAAGACACCAGACTTGCCAATAAGGCATATGAAGAGTTAACGCCATCAGCTGCAGTTTGGAGGGTGTATCTCTAAAGAGAAAGGGATGTGTGCAAGCGCACGTTGATCGTGGATAATGCAGACGGAGGATTATGGATAACAAGGGTATTAGCAACCACATCAGTAGCAGCATTAACTGCAGATGCGTTTCCGTGGATGGTGCCTATGGGAGTAGAGAGAAAGAGGAAGAAGAAAGGTTAGAACCGATACTAGGCTGATGCATACGAAAAGAGAAAAGATTAGGAGAAATGCCAAGATGGTGATTTTCATTGATGCACTAGGTATATATAAAGTACAAGCTAAGCAGTTAATTACAATAGGACCTACCCGAGTAGATAATGAAGGAGCTAAATTCGAAGCTAATATCGTAGTTAAAGAGGGAGCTAATCTAGCATATAATTATAAGAGTTAATCTAGGAATTTAATGGTAGAGTTAATCTAAGTAGAAATTATGCCTAGATAAATATGGATGAATCCTAACACTATACACATAAAAAAACAATGCATTCTACGTCACATACAAAGACTTAAATAATCTAAACTTAGGGTGTGTTTCTTTTGGTTTGGTTTGGGAAATTTCATTTGGGTTTGGTATTAAAATAATGTTTGATGGGATGTTTTGTGAGAGAAAAAACATACTCTCTCTCCGTCCCAATAGTCTTATTTACCATTTTTGTTTGTTCCAAAACAATAGTCTCATTTACATAAACACTCGTATGACCATAAAACTACCATATTTTTTCATTATTATTACATAAATGCAACTACTTTTTCCACTAATACACTCACAAGGGAGAAAAAGTCTTTTACTCATACTATTTACCAACTATAATATAATATCATTATTCTTTAAATCTCGTGCCCAACACAAATAAGACTATAGTTATGGGACTGAGGGAGTATATTTTTTTCGGAAACTGCAGAGTCCAAATAGTAAAATTTGATAAATTTGGCATAACGAAACACACCTTTAGTAATCCAAATTGTAGACAAAACAACGGCATAAACTTTGGAGGTTGCAGCAGAAGATATAGATAGCTCAATTGTTTTGATCCACAATGAAACAATATTTTTAGAATTAAAGTAGATTTCGGGATAATATATGGCATAACTAAGCAAATGAATTGTAAGACAAAGTCATTGGCTCTGGAGCTGTTAACGAGTCGAACCGAACAAAATTTAAATTATTTGTGTTCGTTCATTAAGCATTCGAGCTCCTTTGTATTGTTCGACCTTGGTTCGTTAAACAATTTTATTCGTCGAGCTTATATTCGTATTCAGCTTGAATAAGCTCATATGAGCTCGTTTAGATTAGTATTATATTTTATTTTATCTTTTATTTCATATATATAATATTTTCTTTATTTATTTATTTATTAATATTTTTATATATTTATTCTTTAATAAATATTCGTGAACAAAGCTTGGGATCATTTGTTAACAAAACGAGTCTATTTATGTTGTTCGGCTTGACTCGTTTACGTTCACAATTGAGCTTAAATCGAGCCGAACCGAGCTAAGTTCACGAATAGGTTGGTTCATTTAACAGCTCTACTTACTTACTCAAATATAATGGATCTTGTTAGTGTCAGCAGTGTTTCTTGTGTTTCTTGTATTTAATCCATGTAAAAAGTAATTTTCAGATGATTTATTGTAACATCAATTGATTACATAGATAACATACCAGCTATCGCTCAAACGGTAAATGCCTTGTCCCTCCAAAAGCAACAGACCATGCTGGTTATAGTGAACTTCCTGGAAGCATAAGAAAACAGGCACGAGTGATTGAAATATATTTATTCTTCTGATTTGTGATAATTAATTTATTTGCACTGTTAGGTGTATGGGAATATATAGAATACTGTCAGGTGTAAGGGAATATGTGTAGAATACTTAAGAATGTGATAGTTCCTAGAAATATTGTAAATAGTAGAACATTAACTAGAATTTAAAGGGAGTTCTAGACTACTCCTTTGTGAGTAAGTGTGTGGTTAAGAACTATCAGTTTTGGTTTGTGTTTATTCACAGCACTAGTAACAGTTAATGAATAACACAAGGTTGCAACACTCTATCATACTATCATACTGATATGTGCACCATCTTATGAATAAATTGAAATTTCATTTAATCCAAGGTACGGTGAGGACATATGTGGATAAAACTGGAACAAGAACATTCTGTAATCATAAGACTCGACTTGCTTCTGTCAAGAAACAAATAAGTCATCTACAAAGCATAGACAAGTTGAAAAGAAATATTAATTTTTCAATGCATACCATATGAACTAATTCTATATAAGTTTCGTACATTCAAGCATGAACCTTCTTCAGACACAAACAATGTCAAATACCATGTGCTTATATGAAAAGAGGACATACCTTAACATTCAGAAATTCACCAGGTTGAAAATCCATGATCTTCCAAACAAACATAAATTGGGTCCAAATTAGATCGGTTAACAAATTTGAAAGAGTGAAGCTTTTTCAAAGCCCCCAACTTACATGAATGTTGAAATCATATGCTAGAGAAGTTGGAAGAAGCTTCCGGAGCCCAAAAACCTGAGTTGGAGAAATTAAGGCATATGAAATAGTTGTGAGTTGCATATATTTTCCAGAAAACATTATGTGTTCCATCAATCTGAAATCTGAATATTCAGATACAACTTAAAGCAGCAAATCATCCGGTAAACAGTGATGAGTGCAACTGTCTACAGTTTGCTGTGTTACCTCGCCTGGGGTTTCCAAAAGTGGCTGCTTATCTGTGGAGCCAATAACTTGCTCGGGCTTATAATTTTCAAAGTAGTCATACCTGTGACAAGAACAAATAGGTGACGCCTTCTCTATAGCCATGATCATGAACAAACAAAAGACGAGAGAATATGTTTTATTTGAGTCCTTCAACTGAATCATAAAAGCATAGAAAAGCAAAAACGATAGTTCATGAGCAATATGATACAAATACCAATAAAGGAAAAGGATCAATTGTGAACCTTCTTTCAAAGACAACAATAGTAGCAGCTGCAACAGAGTTCAATGAATGTTGCGAGTTAGGTGGAAGATAAGCATACGAATCCACCTGGAAAAAAATTCAAAAATTAAATAAATTAAAAAAAAAATTATCTCATTAATGTGTTGGTGAAATTTGTTCATATAGCTTTAGTGATCAAGTAAAACCCAGAAGACAGCTTAAAAACTAAACATGTTGACATTCAGCGACACTTTGGAACTAAAACAATCATTTGTTGTTTGACAAATTTACTTGTTTGAGTTTTTGGTGACTACACTTCAGTTAGAAAGATGGCTGACTATGCTTGTTAGGAAATGGCACAGATATACCTAACACCTAAAAACAAAGAAAATAAAGAACATCAGTTTAACTCTTATACCTCGAGCTTGTGCTGAGCACCTGATGCATCATTGAGTGTCACCACACCGTGAAGCACAAATATTAACCTAATCATTCATGCACAAAAGCTCTGATGTAGAATAAGCTCGAAAGGGGAAATTTTTTGAATCAGGAATGAAACAAAGTCTTATCAATCATCTTGAAATGTAATGAAGACCTCTCAACATCCTCTGGTGGGAAACCTGATTTTGAGTTCTCTGTAGAAATAACATGCAACTGATGTAAGATTACAGAATGCGCCTTTTGTTGTCAGAGAAAATTATCACATTATTTTTGAAGCATAAACCACACATCAGTAACTTAAAGTAAATGAAATGGTAGACCAAGTTGCTTGAATTGGGTTTAAACGGTCTGTTTTAAGATTGCTTGATTCAAAAACATGACAAGCATAATCATATGGGATAAGGTAATAGTACCATTTTTTATAAAACATTTTTCTTTAATAAAAAGTTGCATCCTTGAAATTATTGAGGATTTAAAGAAGTCCATAAAAGAAACCAAACCAGTGAAATTTTTGAAACCTCACCTTGCATTTTAGCCAAGTACATCACAAAGTGAGAGCCCATTGCTGGGGTAATGAGATAAGCAGCCAATGTATTGCTCCTGTCAGTTCAATGTACGAAGTGGTATATAAAAATGACTTAATTCATCAATGAATTGGACCAAAAAAAGCTAAGATGCACAAACCAATCAGGTAAAGGGCTGAAAACATGACTTTCAGGAGTTATCAAAGCATGGTCCTTCTTATAAACACTGCGGGTGAAGCCTGGTAAATCTGAAAACAACAAAACACAACCATTTATTTATCTCCATACTGCCTTCCTCCTTTAAGTCGAATCCAACAAACAACAAAAGTTCTTCAACCCACAAACAAAATTGAACAGTCTCTATGGGTAAAAAGGAATAATAGCATTGTTGGGTAGCACCTTTGCCCACAAAGAAGCTCTACCAAAACATATCTTTAAAGTTAAACCAAACAAAAAAATAGTTAATCCTTCAAAAAAATAATATGCTTCAACACACATCCAACCTTTAAGAATGATTCCGTAACATTAGTCATTTAAATTTAGAAAGTTTTCATACACATGCTCAACATTGAAATATACACACCACAAAAACTATCCTCCCCCTTGCATCCTATAACAACGTTACAATCACCATACAATATGTTAGACATACGCATACATATATATATATATATATACACAGTTGCAGAAACAATGGGTTTGTTCTTTTGTGATTTTAAACATTATTTATTCTCCATAGTTCTAATAGAATTACATTGTTCTCTTACAAAAAATCACATCAAAATATTATTTAAACAAAAACTCAGTTTTACACACTCAGTTTTAAATCAATTTCAAACTACAACCAAACAAAATAAATAAAATCAAATATTAGAAACAAACGAAAGAGTATCATCATTTTACACGCTCAAACTGCAGACCAATCAAAGGCAATATTACTCCAAGTAAGCAAGCCAGACTATATACTCCAACAAAAAGAAAATAATAATAATAATAATAATAATAATAATAATAATAATAATAACAACTCGCATTTGTCGTTGGATATCATATATCTGAATCTTCTACAGCGATTCTCCAAAATAAATAATCGACCTTGAAGATGAGAAGGAGACAGCGTGGGGTTCGTGGCTTTCCAATACAGTGGCTGTTCATCAATGATAGAAGGAACAGAGCAGAACCCTTGCTCGCAAAATGAGAATCGAACAAAGCCTGTCGAAAATCATTCCAAACTGAACTTAACTTGGCAAAACACATTGGATTGATTCATTACAAGTAGGCAAGAGGCTAAAGGAGTTGGCATACCCGAAAGGATTAAGGTAACAAAGAGAGAGTGTGCAGAGAACGAATGCATCCTTTCCGAGAGGCTCTTCTACCCACTTTCTGCTGCAGTGTTCAACTTGCGGACTTGTAGAGTAGTTCAGGAATCCAGAATGTACTATACTAAGAATGAATTTTGGGCGAGATAGTCTGATTGATTTTATTTATTTATTTTCTCTTGCTAATTATACTATCTTATTCAGGTTCTACTAAAAAAATAAAAATATTTTAATATAATGTTATGAATTTGTTTTCTCTAATTAGGGTTGTTCTGCAATCAAATAATATTAGGTAAAAATATTAGTAGGTTAGTACCAATAGAATAACAATAAATATAATATTTGAAATAATTTAGTAGTCTCAGGTCACATTCCATTTTGCGTCAATTTCAAGTCTTCGATGCAACACCATAAAAGGGAAGCAGTAAAAGAGTTTTTTACACCAATGAATCCAAAGAAGAGAGGAGATTGCACAAAGGTAAAGAGGAACATAAAGAAGAACACAAATGAGCACACAAAGAAGAACACAAATGATCACACAAAGAGACCGTTTCTGTCGGCTCTCACTCGCTTCACTTCACTAAATACATTGCCTCACACACATATATCTAGGCTACCAAAAAACCACATAAAGCCCTGAAACCAGGAACTAACTTACCTTGTTCATTGAAGAACAAAGGATCCGGAACATAATCAGATTTGAATAAGATCAAGGGAGATGGAACAAATCACCCTTAGAGCATCAATTTCGGACTAGATGAAAAGAGAAGCCAAAAATGGGTCTTAATCGATACGAATAAGATTTGGGGAAACAAAGATCCAATTTAAGGATCAGTCCGGGCAAGGGGTGTATGAACCGGGTTGGTATGGGCAGGGTTGGTTTGGGTCGGTTCGGACCTGAAATAAAACCTAACAATCTCCCCTTTATTTTTGGTCGACCATCATGGTTGCATTTGAGGGCATGACAAGAGTAGGGAACATGCTAACATCATCGCCTTTATTCATGCAACTTACCATATAGATATTGCACACAAAAGCATATATATATATATAAGCACAAAGTAAACATATATACAAACAAAGTAAACAATACCAGTTATAAAATCAACCCATCCAATTTCAAAGTTAACATATAACAAAAACTTTAGACTAATATCATATGTACCAACAAAAGCATGCGACATAGAGCTACAAATCGAAAATAAATTTCTCGAGGGCAATATTAGGTAACCATTCAGTTTTCCACTCTGGATTAATAGTAGAAATATTATCTCTTACTATAAACACGTCACTTACAACCTCATCCTCTGTAGTCATATTCGCTTCATCACAATGTTAGTTATACAATCTCTACCATACTTATTAGCAGATTTGACATCAGAAAATATTCAGGAATCGCATTCAAAGGCATAATAGGAGTGTATTCATCAATATTCTTGTCTCCTGTTTATTTAATATCTTGAACTAGCTTAGAAAAACATCAAGATTATCAGCTATTGACTTATTTAATTCAAGTTTAAATCTGAAGAAATTTTCAAGCAGAAACAATTTATTCAGCAAAGATTTTTCTATATAGATTTCTTCTAACTTTTTCCAAAGTTTTTTTGCAAAATTATGTTTTCCTACTTTTCTAATCACAGAGTCAGATGAATTCAATATTATCAACGAATATGCATGTTCATCTAACTCAACCTTTTTATTTTCAGTCAACAACCGATTAAAATCACCATCAATAGCTTTGGAAACCTTTTGTGTTATTAAGATACTTTTCATCTTCCGATAAAAAAAAAGAAGATACTTTTCATTTTTTGTTGTCAAATCGAGAAATCAATTTTGCCGTAAAAAGTTGCAATAGACACAGTTGGCATAATGCTCAAGTATCTACACAAAGTTCACACAATAAGCCACACAAGAATGTCACACAATTCACTAGCTATCAGTGGTCATCTACTAACTCGCTCTTGGAGCAACCAGATACGTGATAGCAGTGTTCAAACTAATCAATAGTTTTACAGAATTTAATCTCTACTTACCCAACAACTAATTAACAAATAAAACTAAGGGTACGTCTTCCGTTACTCCAAGGCACAATTAAAAATTCTGATTCGATCGTACAACCTGTTTCCAACCTGGAAGCTCTGATACCACTATTATGAATTTGTTTCCCCTTAGGATCGATGACTCGGGTTTTTCTGCAACCAAATAATACTCACTAAGAATATTGGTAGGCTCAGGTCACAACCCACTATGCGCCAACTCCAAGCCTTTCAACGAGGCGACACCACAAAATGGGAGCAGTAAGGGTTTTTGACACCAAGGAACCCAAAGAAATGAGGAGATCACACAAAGAAGAACACAAACGATCACACCAAGCGATTTTTTTCTCTCGGCTCTCACTCGCTTCACTTCACTAAACCCATCGCCTCACACACACATAGGCTGCCAAGAAACCACATAAAGCCCCAAAACCAGGAACTAACTTACATTGTTAATTGAAGAACAAAAGACCCAGAACATAATCATATTTAGAATCATATTTGAATAAGACCGAGGAAGACGGAACAGATCACCCTTAGAGCATCAATTTCAGACTAGATGAGAAGAGAAGCCGATAATGGGTCTTAATCGATACGAATGAGATTTGGGGAAAGAAAGATCCAATTTAAGGATCAGTCCGGGTCAGGGGTATATGAACCGGGTCGGTATGGGCAGGGTGGGATCGGGTCGGTTCGGACCTGAAATAAAACCCACCATATAAAAATGAATATATAACAAATATAGTGAATATACATTGTAAATTTTTTTATTAAGAATTGATAATATATATATATGATAAGTAGAAAAAATGATAATAAATTGTTTATTATTTATTAAAATAAATGTAATGAAATTATAGATTAATAAAATTATTTATTATAAATAAATGAATTATAAATTTAACATAAATAAATATGGTATAAGAGCATCCGTTAGAGTCACCTTTTTCATTACCTTCGTCATTGCCTTTTCAATTTTTACTATAACAAAACTTATTGTCTTTAATAAGAAATACAAATATCAAAATTTATTACCTTGATGAAGAACTCATTACCTTCAACAAAAATAAATAAAAATAAATAAAAAATTATCCAAATTTTTAAAATTTAAATTTAACATAAATTATCTATAAATATATTTAAATTTTATTAATCAATTATCTACTTTTTCATATTCAATTCAACGAAATGACTAGTGAAATACTAATTTTTTCAATCAGTTCTTAGATCTATATAGATTAATATTTAAAAGTTAAAATATAATATTATATAAAAATATTATTAGATAAGAAAATATATAAAAATATGTATAAATAAATAAATAATTTATATATTATGTAATAAAAATATATAGAAATAAATAAATTATTGTGGGTCCTATAAAATAGTAAAGGTAATGTGTTTGAGGTGATTTATTATAACGAGTGATAAATGGAATAATATGAATATTGAGATTAATATGATGTGGATGAGAGAGATAAAAGAAATAATGGGTATTGTGGGTCTATAAAATATAGTAAAGGTAATGTGTTTGAGGTGATTTATTATAACGAGTGATAAATGAAATAATATGAATATTGAGATTAATATAACGTGGATGAGAGAGATAAAAGAGATAATGAGGTATAGGCAACGACTATAACAGATGCTCTAATTACAACAAATAGAAAGTTTATTATTTTGAAATTGAAATGATTAGGCTAATTCATGCAATTATAAAAATAACCACCCGAGATGTACGGCTCGTTTATTTATATTTTTTAAATATGATAATAATTTTTTTTTTTACAACGTAGAATTCACAGTCATGGAGCGCTCTGAGTAAATTCAGCCAAACCTAATAATTTGTAAAGTAAGTTCGATAAGACAAGTCACACTAAACTAACATAATTAATTTAAACAAGATATTCAGTACTGAAAAATTATAAAAATATCATTTATATATTTTCAACAATTATTTTTGTTCTAATTCATCGGGTTTGTTCACCCAACTAATTATTGATGATACAATTTTTGATAAATATTAATAAAAGGTATAATATATACATGTGGTATAAATAATATAGATAGTACTCCCTCCGTCATTTAACAAGACATTCTTTTGTATTTTGCGTCATTGTAATTAATATTAAAAATATTTTTATATTTGTATAACTTTTTGTATTAATGTCATTAGTATTATAAAATACTAATAAAAGTATTTTTACAAATTTTCCTTAATTTATAATACGTTTTGATATAATAATTAATATTCAAATATCAACATGCAAAAAAAATAAATGAATACTTAATTTTGGGATGGAGGAAGTATATTCTTTCACAAAAATAACAACTTTATATAAAATATTATTTTTATATTATCGATACAATTTTTCATATTCACTTAAACAACGATTATTTTCAACCGAACAATCAATGATATTCCATAAAAAAAAAAAACAATAGTTAAGAACTTTCAAATATGATTTTCAACATACATCTATTGATGTTTGAATTTCAAATTCGACTAACATGCAAATACATAAACTATATTTCATAGGAACTATAAAACAATAATTAAGTAGCGAAAGATAATAAGGGTGTGAGCATGCGCAAAATCGGCGAGGTGCTGAAAATTAAAGCCGGGATATGGAGGATTTCAAGTTCCACCATTGGTTCGGTTCACGAGACTTCTGATATATCGACTATTATTTTTAAAAAAATAAATAGACCGAGATTTTATTACGAAATCACTTTAAAATATTGAACTAGTTTTGGTTTTAGGCTCAGGCTCAAACCAACTCGGAAACACAAAATCACACAATATACAACCAACTATGCGACGAACACACACAAATCCAACCCGAAAACCACGACACAAACCAAACTATCACCCCCACAAGAAAAACAAGGAACAACATAACAGATAAGGGCTACAACGTTGAAAAGATTCTTTTGCAGCTCTGATAGACAAAACAGGGGAAGAGGCCGTGCTAAGGAACTCTACATAAAGAAGGAAAGAACCGCCGCAGACCACCTGAACAGTAATCGTCGGAGCAGTAGGGTCGAGAGAGCAGAGAGGCAGGCTAGAGAGAGAGCGATATAGAGAGAGATTATGAATAATGACAACAGCGCT